TACGAGACGTCTTTTTTAATTAAGTGGGTGTTTTCAATACATTCTCAGAAATAAGAGATCAACCATATGGGAAATTTCTGTCGGTCTGAATTTTTCTTTACTAGAAATAATGAAAAATCTGATTTTCAACCTTGAAAATGGGGGTCAACTTATACATGGATAAATACGGTAATTAACTCCTTCGCTATCAGTAATTGCATTAAAGATTCTGTGTTAGAAATCACAGCACCATATCCCAAAATCTAATGTTGTCCTCAGCACAATTTCATTTTTTGAGCAAGGCAAAGCTAAAAATCAATCAAGGGCCACAAAGACATCACAGAGACAACATTGCTATGTATAATGTTTATGTACTCAGATAGGTAAAAGCTACTCTATTCGTTAATTCAATGTCAATACTCACCCTCATAGTAGCGTTATATTTTAGCCAACTTGGGAAATAGCAACCAAAAATGAACCCTTTTGGACATCCAAACTTTTAAATTTCAAGGGGAAGGTTCCCCAGACTTTGCCATCCAAGTGAGAAGAAATGGCTGCCACACTGTCATTTTTGTCCCCCCTAGCTGCTCAAATGTGTTCCCTCCTTTCGGCAATCTTACCAAAGCCTCCATATGTGTAGTAATAAAAGCACTGAACTGAAGAGTGCTATCTCAGCAAGAGATGATGATCGTGCACACTTTTAATGGAGTCATCCTAGCAGATGTTTGGCAAGGTATTGCATTCTTTGCTCAAAATCTAGTTTTACATAGACCTGGGAAAAAAGAATGGGGTGTAGCAGTCATTCAGGTCAGTTAATTGCTCCAAGCTCTAATTTTATACCACTGCTCATTTGGTTATCTTTCTTGCCAATACTCTTTCTGGTTATTTGGGTTTTCTTGGAAACTTAGGCTCTTGCCATTGAGAAGAAGCATGATATGTGTTTACAAATTAAAAGCGAAGAAAAGTGAAAAAAATAAGAGAGTAACAGGATGGTATCAAGACTGGTATAATTTTTTTTTTTTTTTTTGCTGGGGGGTAGTTTTTTATTTTTGAATCAGAGTTTTAGCCTAAGTATGTCTAAGTTTCTACACTTGTTGTTTAGTCTTGTGATTTCTTACTTTAAGAAGTGACTAAAGGTAAAATTTTTTAATTTTTTTTATTACAGCCAATTGAGTGTGTAAATGGAAAGTAAACACAAAATAATGATGGTAAGGAACAAATTGCTTGCACTATAAATTATTGAAAGTAGTCTGCACTCTCCATATTTGTTATTTTTAATTGACATGCTTTGCACTGGTGTTGTGTAATGAGTGTTAATAATGAATAAGACTGTGCAGTGAATTAGCTCGTGCTGCAGCATCCCATATCCAATAAATTCAATAGAAGACCCTTCACTCATTTCACGCCTTATTGGATCTTGACACGTCCTTAAATGAAAAGTTGCTTGAGACATATTTTTATCGTAAACATTTATGAAGCTTTTTTCTGATATATAGTTTGCTAAGATTTTAGTAAAACTACTGTAGTGTGCAAACAATTTTTTTCCCGAAGGACACCCGCAAAAGTGGGAAGTAACCTTGAGCTTGTCGCATGCGATTAAGTCGTATCATTTAAATCTGCCCTAAAAATTTACATTACTTTTATGTATTGAAGTGAATGCTTTGATACACAGTGCCTTTAGCCTCTTCATATGCTCGTATGTTTTTCTCTGAATACCTGGGAGCCGAGCAAACTGGTAACCACCCATATTCTTTTGTTCTCTTTAGAATAGGATTGTTGATCAATATTTGCTGAGTTGGCTACCATGGCTCAAGATGGAGGACCACGTGGTGAGATAAACTATTTTCCTCATCTGCCATCCTGAGAGGGTTTCTCATACTTTCTTTCAGAATAGAACAGAATTTTGACTAACCTAACAACTCAACAGGAAATCGTCCCTTTTAAATTGAATGTTCTAAGGGAGTTCTTGAAGTTGCTTTGAGGTTTATCGCCTATCATGAAATAAAACCAGTGAACAAGGCTGTTATGAATTACACACAACTTCAGATGAGGGTGTCTGGTATAGTGAAGTACTGGTGCAATTCATCCCTGAGAAGCAATCGAACTACTGTTTTCTCACTTATAACATTACTTAAAAATTAATAATCAGTGACTTAGGTGTCAGGCATATCAAAGAATATTGGCACAGGAAGAGGTACTCTCCCTAATGGTTCATGTGCACATTCTAGGGTGAACATTATTGTATCTATAGTATGAACATTGGTGGTGATATTTTTGACAAAGGCCATCACTGGACAGCCATGTTTACAGAATTTGAAGGAAGTATTAAACCGCAGAGGCTCAGGCCTAAACAGCTTTGTAAAATGTCGTATATTGATATTACTAAGTGATACCTTTCTTATGTTTTGAAGAGCATGTGATTAACATGGACTGGCTGAAACAAGAAATAGTTATGGAAGAGCAGCTGGAAAAAGGAAGAGAAAAACAAAGAAAAAGGGAGAAGCAAACGAAAAGAGAGAAACAAAGAAGGGGAGAAGATCATTTTTCCGACACATACCTATACTTAAGTTATCCCTTTTAAAATTTTAAACCTATATATCTATGTCACACAGTAATTCCTCTTTTTTT